TATTCTGCACCTTTGGGTTTCTGAATATCTGTGTACAAATAAATAAAAGTGGTTCATAAAACTACTAATTTGATAATTTTACCAATATAATATAATTATATATGCTTATGTATGGGTTTAGAATCGTTAACAGACATACTAAGTAGAACTAGTGTATATATATACTACCAGTCAAAAGTTTTTGAAGTTACAAAAGCTTTTTATTTCAGATAAATGCTGATCTTTCTATTAATCAAAGAATCCTGAAAAACATTTACTCAACTGTTTTAAATATTAATAATATTAATAATAAATGTTTTTTGAGAAGCAAATCAGAATATTAGAATGATTTCTGACGGATCATGTGACTGGAGTAAGTCACCTTTGAAATCACAGGAATAAATTAAATTTTAATAGAAATATAGAAAATTGTTTAAAATAGAAAACAGTTATTTTAAATAGCAAAAATATTTTTAAATTGTACTGTTTTTGTTCAGAAATCATTCTAATATTCTGATTTGCTGCTCAAGAAACATTACTGATTATTATTATTATCAATATTTAAAGCAGTTGAGTGCAATTTTTTCAGGATTCTTTGACGAATAGAAAGATCCAAAGATCAGCATTTATCTGAAATAAAAAGCTTTTGTAAGATTATACACTATACCATTCAAACGCAGATTATAATGTTACAAAATATTTATATTTCAGATAAATGCTGTTCTTCTGAACTTTCTATTCATCAAAGGAACCTGAAAAAATTATACTCAGCTGTTTACAACAACAACAACAACAACAACATAATAATAATAATAATAATAAATGTTTTTTGAGCAGCAAATCAAAATATTAGAATGATTTCTGAAGGATCATGTGACTGGAGTAAGTCACCTTTGAAATCACAGGAATAAATTAAATTTTAATAGAAATATAGAAAATTGTTTAAAATAGAAAACAGTTATTTTAAATAGCAAAAATATTTTTAAATTGTACTGTTTTTGCTGTACTTTGGATCAAATAAATGCAGGCTTGGTGAGCAGAAGAGATTTCTTTAAAAACATAAAAAATCTTACTGTTCAAAAACTTTTGACTGGTAGTGTTTAAACAAGAGATATGTTCCAAATATTATAAAGTCTGAGCAGCTGAATAAACAGTTGAATGATCAGATAAACGGTTCTTGACATGCGGTACACACACACACATACATACATAGAGTACACAGAGAGATTCCTTGCTCTAATAGATCATCTGATTCTCCCCCCAGGTAGTCTTTGATGGCATTCTGTTGATTTTTACTGTCCATCTGGAGAAAGGCAGGCCCTGTCACCTCCCCACAGAATAACCCACGGTGACTCTGTACCACACTGGACCAATGTCCCTTACAAACTTCCACTTTATCTCCTCTTGGCGCTCCTGTTAAAAATAGAGAATACATACGTGTTGAGGGGTATATGCGTCCACTAAAAAGTATTTACCTCATCATTCTACATACAAACATATTTATGATTTTAAGCCACAAAAATCAATCAATATCTAGAGGGGGGCAGGTAAGTACATATGTGTAAGAGGGATGAAGGGTGTGTGTGTGTGTCTGAGTGGGTGAGATGAGTGTTATGTGTATGTGTCTCCTTTCAAATCCCTCTTAAGCGGGATTTGAAAGGAGAGAGAGAGAGAGAAAGAAAAAAAACAAAAAACAAAAACAAAACAACACTTATACTTGCACTTATTAGGGCTGAACTTGAATCTGAACATATTACTACCTTGGATATTTTAACTTCACTAATCCACCTTATTGCCATAATTATTGCAAACATTTCTCCAGTAAACACTGATAAACAATCTGATATTCTACTGCTCTTATTTACTTTTAACTTTGGTATTACAAATGCAGAGCCCACATGACCCGTTTTTGGATCATTTGAGGCATCTGTGAAAATGTGCATATATTCTCCATACCTTGACCCCATATATTCCCTTACATCATATACCTCTGTTTCGTAAGCCCCTACCTTTTGCCTTATTTCTAATAAAGTAAGATCAGTCTTGTTTATATAATTTCAACTTAATATCAACAGTCCTCTTCATATTTGTAAAAAGTACTATTTTTGTCTTTTCCACTGAAAACTTTTCTACTTCATTTAATGCACATTGCATCTTCTTTATAGTATACACTATATTCCTTCCTTTAAACCAAAGAGCCCCATCATCAGCAAACAAAGACTTCCCCAGACTTGAATTTATCCTTGAAAAAACATTAATCATGATGATAAATAACAGTGGACTAATTACACTGCCCTGGGGTGTTCCATTCTCGATTACTCCACTGGAGGATACAGCGCCACCAACCTTCACCCTTATACTTCTTCCAACTAAAAATTCTTTAATCCAATTGTACATTCTTCCTTTTATACTCAACTTTTCTAATTTTATTAATAATCCCTCTTTCCACAACATATCATACGCCTTTTCTATATCGAAAAAAACAGCGATGACACTCTCCTTGTTTACAAATGCCTTTCTTATATCATCTTCTAAAGATACTATTGAATCCAAAGTCCCTCTTCCCCACCTAAACCCACTTTGATAAGGAGAAAACCAGTTCATTTTTTCCAAATAATATGTCAATCTGTCTGTAATCATTCTCTCCACAACCTTACATAAATTAGAAGTTAAAGCTATTGGACGATAACTCATAGGATTACTTGGATCTTTCCCAGGCTTTTTAATAGGTATATTTAATGCTTCCTTCCAACTTTGAGGAAGTATACCTTCCA